CTGAAAGATTTTCCCCACCTAGTTGAAGTAAATGGTAGGATTTGTCCTCACTTAGAAGTTCCATCAACTTTCAGATGGAAACATTCTTAGCTAAATGAGCAGCAGCACATCTCTATGCATCAATAGCTTACATATTCATACCTACCTCATTTATTTATCCAAACAGGAGTATGCTATGCCAGAACAAGGATTTATATTCAGCGATACAAGTACTCTAAAAGCCTTCATCATATTTACATGGAAAGCAACACCATCCTCCAGCATAAGCATGTTCTGAGTAAGATACAATGCACAAAAAGATGTGGGAATACAAAACTTTCCTCAAGAAAAACATTTGGGTCCCTACTTTTTATGTTTGTGTTCATGCCACACTTGAAACCTCTCCTCCAGGAAGAAGGCTGCACGTGTCTGACACACATTCTGCAACTGCTTTATTGAGAATCTGAGATACTTAAAGCTCATACTTCTCCCACATACAGAAAAAAACCCAAACACAGAGGTGATCAAACTCAAAAAATATTACACAGAAATTCTGAAAATACTTTTTATATCTGCCACCCTGCTTACTTACCTTACAGACACTTGAACTGTGTTTAACTTATAGTGCAAGTAACTTTGGTAAACACCATACCTGTCATGATGCCCCTGGAACAACTGCAGCATACTATACCAAAGTTGTAATGCAATTTGTGAAATATCCCTCTCTTAATTAAATTGTTCATTATATTTCCAATTTGTTTTGCTCTTCCTATTCTGATAAAGTTGAAATAGCATACATCATCAAGGACTGGGAATAAGTTGTTCAATGTATGATCAATTCTGTCTGGTTCAAAGAAAAGTTTAAAAGAGTCAAGCAAATATAAGTATTGAAAGAAGATTCACTGATAAAATACTTCATTACTGTCATTGTGACCATAGAGTGATGCCTCATGACATAGATAAGAAATGTTAAGAAACAGTTAAGCAACTGTGATAGGATGACCACATCTGCATCCTGTCTGAGGACAGACACTATTTCTTCTGAATTATTTCTAAAGATTTGGAATGAGCCTGCCTAATTTAAGCCACATGCCCCAGAATGTGCTTTGCCTCAAAACATTTGTGCAGATAGGATGATTATAGACCATCCTTCTGCATGGGATATTGTAATAACAGAAGCCATACATGGTATTGTTGTCAACAGTAAAGTGATGTTAGCAACACCAATCATTACAGCTGCACTGCATCACAGAGAGTTTAAGGCAAAGGTATAATTCAAGCAACTTTATGTAACCATCTTAACCTTTCTTACATCCTCCTTTTGGTTAGTAAGGAGCTCCTAAGATGGATGGGAACAACCACCCTTGGTAATTATCCACATTACTGTGCAATGCACATTACTCAACTTAAGGCAAAGCCTTTTTCAGCTGTGCAAACAAAAACTCCCTTTTAAATGCTAGCATGTTTTTTAAAGCCTTTCAGTAGAGATAGAGTAAAAGCACATTTCCATTCTCAGTCTGGGTTTGGGCAATCCTGTAGCTCCAATTCACTGACACAGGCCAGACTCGTTCAACCACATATGTTGAACCACAAGAGACAAAGAAACTTTTTATTTTTAAGTATGTTTTTAAGTGTGCTCTCAAGCAGCTGATCAAGGTGTGGGGTTTTGTCTCATGTTGCTACACAAACTAAACAAACATCAAAAGACTACTACAATACCACTTTATCCTTCTGTATAATTTCTTCAAAAGGTTGCAACAACCTTTCCAGTAATCAATAGGTATCAAGTACTTACTTTTAACTCAAAATAAAGTCCTAAGTATTTTAAGTTATCAGCTCCCTTTGTCTCTTCCTCGCTTTCTTAAAGATATACTAGAAATGCAAGACTAATCCAGCCTTAATTTCACATCATTAGTCAATGTGCACATTCTTCAGGTAAGTCTGGTCTTTCTGTAATTCCATGTCATTTGGAAAAAACATTTCTTTACATTAACTGTTGTCAGTCCATTATAAACTTAGCAACCATTGTTACACAATATGCCTAAAAATCTTCCAAATTCCTTTTAACTTGGTAGTGAATAAGCCAGGCATACCTTGATACAGTAACAGCTCAGCAGGTTAATGAAAAACAGCAGCAGATAGCAAAGGAATAATAGAAATCAGAGAAGATGAATGAAGAAGCCCACAAGACAGGTACTTAAAAGTTTTAGACTGAAACATAGAAAAACATTTTTCTAATTACAAGCAATCTGGAGGTTTTTGCCAGAATGTCAGTAAGCTCATTCCACATATCAAGTACCAGTTCACCCAAGCCCACCTGAAAATTGACTCATGTGGAATTGACTCACCCCTATGGACAGGAGCGTTTGGTAGAGCTTGACTCAAAGAAATTCTGTGAGCTAAACTGTGTCTGTAATGAGAATTCAGAGACCAGATACACTGGCGTAACACTAAGGCTACACGGCGGAAGTAGCTTACTGTTCAAATTTATATTAAAAAACACCAACACTAAAATGAAGTAAAGTACTTATAAAGTATGAAACTCAAAGAGATTAGTAACATGCAGAGATGAAAAAGTAAAAAGCCAACAAGGAAAGCAAGTGCACTTGCTGGGAATCTTACTGTGAAGGGAAAGCACAGAGTCTAAGCTCTGGATATTGGCAACAAAGATGAAGGGACTTGACACAGCAGACAAATATTTTTCACACCAGGTATTCTTACCCTTAAGAATGTAGAAATATTTTTTTATACTAACAGGCCAACATAAAAATATAGGCCAACTGAGGGAGCACATGGAAAGGGACAGAAAAATTAGCTGTAAAATGGAATAATCATGGCACAACCAGTGATATAGACTACCAAGAGTTCTCATTCTGCTGCCATATGCTATATCTAATCCACTACAGGAGCACACGATTACCTAGATCTACGTTCTACATCACACACACAAGAGAGACTACTTACCTTTGGGTCCATCCTCCAGAGGTTGATGATAAACCAGACAAAAGACTAACACCAGTCGTGGAACCTGCGTTCAGCCTTGCTCTCGCACATCCCAGTGACACATTATGTAATTTGGCACCAGTAAAGGAACACAAAAAGCAATCAACCACCCAAGCAGGAACCAGTTGAATAAGTCCACATCTACTCATGAACTGAAAGACAAAAAGCTTCACATCTAAACTCCTTACAGACTCCTGTGCCTGCCTGAAGTAAAGAAAACCTACCAGTCAGAGGATGATACTCTTTGGTAGAGTTCAAGAATTAAAGATAACATTAGAAGAAAAGAAGCAGACCTATAAACCTGCTATCGTTTCTTCTTTAGCTATTCTGAATTAGTTCCAGGATTTGCAAAGATCTTTCTGTTTACTTCGCCCAGGAGAAATGCAAGTTGAGCCATTAAAAACAAAACAAACGAACACAAACATTACAGAACAAATAACCCATACTGAAAATTCTGGAAACACAAGAGCACTTGTCATGGTTTGCAGTTCATTCCAGAACATGACCACCACTGGAAGAAGTAACTATTGCTTCCTTAATTCCTAATCTTCGGGGAACATATACATTTTCTAGCCAGCTGGCCAGCAGAACAAGCAATGTCTAATTTTAAGAATTAATCAGCTAAAATCAGTATAAAAAAAAATAGGAAGAAAAACAGTACAAGGAAATAGAAACCTACAAAGCTTTTGCTGTTTATCACCATAACTTTATAACCAAGTATAGAGTTCCCATCCAACAAGACTGGGCATCTGAATTTACTCTGGTCATCTCATAAAGTTTCTTAATATTTTGGTCAGTCTAGGGGAAGTAGGGGTTGCCAGGAGAAGACATCTTCAGTCCCACAGCTCATGACTGAAAGTTCTTGATTCATACAAAATATGGGTCAGAAGAGGAGGGAGGACATTTAAGTTCCCCTCTTTCTTCCTGCAACTATTAAATTCTCTCAGTGGAAGTAACCCAGCACTTGTCAGCCTAGCTGAATTCATGCCAATGAAGTTCTTGATGCTAACACGGGGCAAACCAGACTTCTGTCAGATTCAAACCATACTTCAGTCCTATGTCTGACTGTGACAGTACACGTATTATTCTTGTCTTCCTTCCCTGTCCTCACAGGAATATGCACAAAGATGAAGCAAAACTGAAGGGCGACAAACATGGCCGCAGAGCACATCATCTGCACATCCAGTCTCTGAAATTCTCTCTCCAGAGAGAGTTTGTCTCCTCTAGAACACTAAAAGAGTGTTCTCTTCTAGCACTCCTGTTATTTTGGACTACACTTTTATCACAAAACTTAGAAGAGTTCCAGTTTTCTATCTCACAAACCTGACTACCCAAAACGTAGGGCCTCATCCAAATACCTAGTGGTCGAGAGACACTGCCCCTGTATTCTAAGAGTTAAGTCAGGGCAAATCAAAGCACCATAAGCAATCACCACCTGTCAGCTGATTACATGAGAGCTTCTGCACACAGAGGTATCAGTGGCCACCTGTCACTTTATCAGTGACAGTCAAGCCACACGCCACCTAGAAATTCCCAGTCTAGTCCATTAACTCTAGGTTGCACATGATTCCCAGCAGAGCCTTTTACAGAAGTCCACGTTTTCCAGTCCAGGTCACAGAAACCTCAGTTCAATCTCAGCCAGCCCTTCACCTGACCAGCTCCTAATGTGCTCCACGAGTGACACAAGGCGTAACCGCTCAGGCAATGCGGCAGAGAGAGCATCAGCTGCTTGCCCCAAATTCACTCTGCAGAACTGAGCGCTGCCTTCGGGCAGAGGTCACCTGTGCCCCAGGAGCGCAGCACGCTACTGCAGGACAGACCCAAAGGGGAAGACTTGTTACTGCCACCAGCAGCCCTCAGCAAAAAGCCTCCCACACAAGCCTTCGGACCGGGCAGCACTCACCGCAGGGACATCCACCCAACACCTAGGGAACAGCTGTCCACCGCACCCAGAGCATCCCCCTCCCGGCACTGCTTCCTCCTCGGGACAAGAGCGGGCGGGAAGGGCGGCCTCTCACCTGGAGGAGCACGGCCAGCAGGACACACAGGTACACCTGGTAAGGGCCCATCTGCCCCACCAGCGGGAACGCCTCCTCCACCTCCATCCCGCTCCCCGCCCGCCGCGCAGTTCCTACGAGCAGCCGCCGAGCAGCGCATCCCCGGGGCGGGGCGGGGCGCGGAGCAGCGGCCGGGCCCTCGCGGAGCTGGAGCAGAAGGGGAAGGGAGAGGAGGGGGAGGAGGAGGAGGAGGAGGAGGGAGAGGGAAGGGCGGGAGGCGCGATGCGGTGCTCATGCGCAGGCTCCGGGGCGAGCAGCCGGGATGCGGCCGCCTCCCTCCTTCCCGGGCGGCCGCCGGGAAAGCGGAAACGTGCGCGGCCTCAGCGCAGGCGCACGGGCCGGGATGCCGTGGTGCGGGGAGCGGGGCTGTGAGGGGGCTGTGCGGGGAGCGGGGCTGTGAGGGGCTGGGCGGGGGGAGGGGCTGG